GGGGCGCCTCTCTCTCTCTCTCTCTCCTGGTCAGCGCCCGTGCACCCTCCTCCGCCAGCGCTGGCCCCTCATGTAACTAACTTCTTTTTGGTGGCCGCACATGTACTATTTTTGGGTGGGGGCGCACCTTTTTGGTGCCGGCATGGGCAAATTCTACGGCGCAGGAAAAAAACACCGCTATGCTACTGTACTCTGTCCTATCCTATGCTACTACGCTCGACCTTGACTTTACTACTCTACACTACACTACCACGCTCGACATCAACTAGGGATGTGGATACACACACACACACACACATGACATCCCGGACAGATTGTCGGGGTTCAACCTCCTGATGAGTCGGTGGAAGTCCGACGAAACAGCCTGGCTTAGTCATGCTTTTTTATGGAGCTGCGTATAGCGAACATGAGAACACACACACACATACACAAATACACCCAGACTGAACACACTACGTGTTTTTACTCACAGACATACACAAACACACACTACGCCTTTTTACTTATCGGAGGTTGGGGTCCACATTCTGAAGGTTGGACGCTGGCAAGTTCATCGTCATTTCTACGTCGGGTGATGGCAATAATTCGCGCGAACCGAAACATTTTTTCGTATAAAATAATAATAATAAGGACAAGATTCTCAAAAGTGACTATGCATTTCATATATGCGAAAGGAGAAACGTTTTATTATGAGAGACGACACATTTCTACGAACATCCATCCATAGCTTGTCATGAGAAGTGATAGAAGGGTGTCATTACTACAACTGAGACAAAGGTCGTGGCAACAAACCGTGCATATGGCATTATTTTTCCAATTAGGGCATCCATATCATTCTTATTTTTTGGCTTTCCTAGGATCGCAACCATGTATGTGCGAATGACGTACAAATAAGGATGAACTTCTCAATAGGGATTGCGCATTAAGTCCGGTTTGAAAGGAAAATACAAATTGCTATGCGAGAGGAAGCGTTTCTTCAAACAATCATCCATAGTTCCTATGGGGAAAATTAATTCCTGCGATCGACAAAAAGGTACGAGCAACGCTGTCCATCTCCTTTGTTACACAACGAGAAGAAGAAACTTTTTCCCAAGTCTTCATTTCTCCACATGCTGCACTAACACCTTGTGACCTCCTTTGTGAGATCACTGACACAGTTACACTTGGTTGTGGAAAGCATCGACATTGTCGACATCACTACAACCGTATAATTTTTCGGGCCCGATGTCTGCAGTGATGCCACCTGTACCCGGATTGTGAACATCCTCTACATCCAGATGCAGTATGTCCCATGTGTGCCTRCGAGCGYTRTAGCGAATGTGCACTTAACTGTGATGGTGAAYGCCCCACAATCGTCATGGCCTGCAACCGGCATGCCCTCTCTCGTGCATGCTTCARAGGTATGGTTAATGCTAGCCGCCCT